GTAGACCATCTTTTACAACTCTTAAGACAAGCCACCAAATTGAAGTAAAAAGGATGTAAAATCATAATCCATCCAAATGTTCTTTTGTAAGTGCTTTATCTAAGGGAAGACTTCAATTTGGTACATACACTGTCAAGAAATGAGAAAGTTAAATACTATTTGTATCCGGCAATCTTCTGCTTCTCTCTTGGAGTTGAGATCAAAAGATTTCCAAGTCCATCTGCTTTTGTGGAATTTGTACAGCCTCTGTACTTATCTGATGAGTAATAGCCTTGCCTGTTTTTTCATTTTTCATTTTCTTTAATAGTTGTTGCTACTATATGCATTTTAGAAGTTTATTCTGTCTTTATTCTCAGGGTGAGTCGGATGGTGAGTAGGTGGGGCAGTAAGCTAAGCCAAACTGGAGGTTTAATATGGATTTTTTTAAACAGCATAGCTGGGACAGGTTCTTTTTTTGTTTTAATTTTTGCATTATATTCAGCATTTTAAAAACTCAGATTCATTTTCATCATTTCTTTTTATTTGTTTGTTATTTAATAATTTATTGCTGAATGGCATTTATCACATCAGATGTCTCTAATGCTGAGAAATTGATAAATATTTCATCTACAAAGAGTGTGTTCCAAGAAGATATGGGTTTCCAACACCTTCTGGTCATTAGATTTCAGTTTGGTATCTTCACCCAATGGCTACAGTTACCAGAAATTGATTTGTTTCTCAATCTATCAAGTTATATTATGATGTTCCTGGTGTCCTTTAATCTTCAGTTTGGTTCTTGAACCGTTGGCTTCTTCTATTAAGCAGTCTCAGGAGTTAAGAGCATGGTAGCACTTGATTCTGAATATAAATTGTTCTTACACACTGATATTATGGCTATTCTGTACAAGTATAAAATGCCATATCATTTACAAGGCTTATTGAAGTTGTACAGCAACTTGGTTTATACTCTGGTTATACTATTAATTAGAATAAGTCTAATTTGCTGTCTTTAGATATTCATAGACTACTGCATGAAATTAGGATTTACAGTTTGTACAGACTCTATAAAACACTTTGGTTTATGATTTTCTTGAAATATACCTGTATTGCAGTATGTTGAATTAAAAATGTCTAACTCTGTATATGCAATTTAAGCAGATATAACTCAATAGTTAAAACTTCCTGTAAGTTTCTGGGGTAAGATTAATGTTATTAAAATGAATATTACTTCAAGACTAATGTATATTTTAGGAGGGATTCCAATGTTAATCTCCATTAGATGTTTTGCTCCGAAAAATAAGCTTAGGAGAACATTTGCATGGCTGGCTAAAGCCTTTTGAATATCTTTGGCCAATCTGTTACCTTATGATGATGGGAGCTTTATCCTACTAGATTTGCAACTATATCATTTGACTTTTATTTTAACATCTATATCCTTTTGGAATGAGACCTTTGATGAATATTCTCCTCTTGGGTCTACTTGGGGAGCAAGAGTGTAACATCACTGAAATCTTGTCTTTTTAGGGTGCACATACGCTAAACAGGGTCTTTGCTTCAAACTTTGAAAGCTGCCAGGTATATTTAGTTAATAATAGGTAAGCAGTTACATTTTGATCCCACATCACAGGAAAACACTGACGTTGTGGAATAACCTTAATTTGAAAATAGTGGAGAAGTTTTCTTGGAAACTTTGGGGCAAGCAAAGGATCAAGATCTTAAATCAGTTGATTTCTAATAGTTCTTTCAAAGACTTCAGGAGACTGTATTTTGAACATGATTTACCTATAACGTTCACTTGGCAGTATTTTCAACTGAAACATGTACTAACTAGACATGGCCCAGTTGCTTTAATCACCCAGTAGCTTTAGTGGCCTCTGAGGCACCTGCAATTTTAGGATCCTTAAGAGAGGCAGATCCTGGAGAAGAATCTATGTGGTTACTAGCAGTTGACACCAACTTTATAGCACATAATAAAAAAAGATGGGCAATGCTAAAACGGAACCAACAATTCAATTTTATAAGGAATTTTAAAAATGACAAGAAAGTTAGCATTAGTTATAGATCTGAAGTGTGGAATGAAGAACTGGAATATCCAATTTTGGAAAATCAGTGGGCCCATGTGTTAAGAATTGTTAAGTGTACAGGTAGTCCCCAGTTTAAGAACAAGTTCTGTTCCCAAGGTCTGTCCTTAAGTTGAATTTGTATGTAAGCCAGAACAGTATTATTATATAATACTGTATAAGTAGTATTGTGTAATAAACTCGAACCATTGTGTATTTAACTCAAATCACTGTGTATTTAACTCAAATTTTGCTACAATAGGCTCCTTTCTTAACTACAGGTCATCCATAAACCGGGTGTTCTTAACCCGGGGACTACCTGTACTTAGGATTTAATAATGAAATTAATTCATCAGAAAATACTGTTTTGTGTTTATAGGACCCCTCAAATGTTGTTTTAAAAGGGCTGGACATTAGATTGTTTTTTTTTTTTTTAATGTGGGCACTGTAAGAAATGTGAAAGCTCTTTAACTCCTATGATCTGGTCTTGTCCAGCTATAGCTTCATTTTGCTTTCCAATCATTACATGTGCTAATACAATTCTGGAAAGAAATATTATAAACCTTAACGTGATGTTGAATTATATTCCTAAAATGTGGAAATTGTCATCTCATGAAAAACATAGGCTCTACTGGCCTAATTGTATGTAACTGGAAAGAAATTTATCCTCCTGATGTTAAATAAGGGTTCAGAGCATGAATCTGTCATCGGTTTTTGAAAAATCTTTGTATTCTAAAAATTAAAAAGGGGAACTGATCTGTTTCTAAACAATTTGGATATAATGATAGGCTTAAAATTAAACATGTTAATTAATAATTAATTTTATATTGAAACCATTATGTGGATCTTTTTTCTTTCTTTAGACTTTCCCCCTCTTTTTTAGTATGTCTAAGTTTCTTTCATTTAATCATTATAAGGTATCTAGGTTTTTTTCTCATTGTACAATCACTACATTTTTTGTTACTATTTTATTATTCTTCGGTGCTGTACTTTTCTTTCTTTTATTTAATAAAAAACAATTCCCAGCTTTGGTTAATGTGTGGAGGGGCCAACGTAATGTGGCTCTTGAGAAATCATAGGATAAGGGACCAGCTGACGAACCACACTGCAATATTAAAATTCTTCGAATTGTCTCCAAACCAAGTAGCAGCCATAAAGAATATAAACATGACATTCAATAAGTTTCTCTAAAAATGGATGAAGCATTGGAACTCCAAATCACTACTTAACTGAAACACAAGGGTGGGCTTTAAAAATATGAAGTACCTCCTCTTCCTAAAGTTTAAAGTCTAATATTTTTTTTACTCTTTCTCTACTTCTCTAGCTCCCAAACATGGACCATAAACTGGAGTAACTTAGACTAATTTAAGATAAGCTCTGAAATGACCATCAAAAGGAAGATAGTAATCTAGCACAATATGTAGAAGATATTTCACCCCCCGAAAACTCTGAAGGACTATGCATCAGACAGAGAGTGCACCTCAACTAATATTTTCTGCCCCGCCTTCCCAATCCCATAAATTCAAGTAGGTCAAAACTATCTTTTGCATCTTTTTTCCCATTCGAAAACAGATTGTAGTTATTTCAGCAAAATTCATTAAAGCCTCTCCTTTAAACAATACGCTTTCATTTCTTAAGACATTTACAAATACAGTAAGGTTTTATGTTGGAACATTGAACTTTATTTAAAATTGTCAACATCAACACATACTGTAACAAGAGTTACAGAAAAGACAAGTTGGTGCAGAGGGAAATGAAGGAACCCATGCTTTGATATTTTGCATCAACTGGCCTTTAAGGCAGATCTGTCTTACATATTTTACCTTATACTAAGTAGATTAACTTTCTTAGCTTCCCACAAAACATCCTGAGGATATGATTAGGTGGGGAGTCTGAAGATTTAGAGGTCTCAAACTCTCATGTACATGAATGGTTTCCTAGGGTTTAATAAACAATGACTGTTAAACCTTTTAACATCAGGAGCACAAATACACTTTTGAGGGAACAACATTTAGGGATAGAATGGAGGTGTAGCACTTCTGTCCTGGAATCTAAATACTTAGGTTGGGCCTGTGACACACCTGGTCCAAGTAGCTGGACACAGTCCACCATGCACACTTTATGATCAGAAGATACACTTCAGTGTCCTCTTCCAGATTTATTTTCCAACTCTATACTTGCAACCTATAAATAAGGCATTTATTGAACCTCTGCTCGTTGGTGGTCTTCATTTGCTGATTGGTCAGATCTCTTTCCTTTTATCAAACAGCAGTCATATTTTACATATTCCTAGTTTTCAATTACTGCCTGAAGGTGTTTTCAGCTATCTGTTGCCACATAGTCTTGAGCAAATTTCCTATGAGAAAACTTTCAAGGTATCTGCCTAATTGGAGGAGGGTCAAAGAAGTCAAAAGGGTGGCTGCAACTGCCTGAAGCCCTGGCCTTTTTTTACATACAATGCATTTTAAAAAGGAGGGGCTTTGAATATGACAGTCACGTTGATTTTTTTGACCCTCCTCCCATGAACACCACTGGAACTTAAGATAACTTGAATAACCAATTGCATTGAAATGCACATCTTCATGTGCTGAATGTATCTTCTTTTGTGAATTAACTATGGCCCTACATTTTCTAAAACGTTGGTGTCACTTGGCCCCTTTTGGAACCACCAGATCCAGATTAGACAAGATTTTATCATTTGTGATCTCACAATGACCCTTCCAGAAGCAGTCTGGAAACTGGCATTTTCTGACTGACAAAGTTTATTAAAAGACATAAGCTTTTGCTGCTGCTGCTGCTGCTGCTGCTGCTGTCGTCATCATCATCTCAAGAATATGGGAAGCTGCCTTATCAAAATGGCGAAATGTTTATTTCTATCTTGCATTTAGAAATTTGACCCTTGAAGATTTATGCAATATAAATCTAGCGTGTGACTACAATTCCCATACAGTCCCCTGACAAAAGAAAAAAGAGCAGGTTGGAAAGAAAGTCAACAGGGAAAAAAAAGAGCGGACCAAAAATATGGAACTGAACTATTCTTATCCCATCTGCCTTCCTTGAAAGAAACAAATCTTAGTAATTTACACTGTTCATAATTTATTCCTTTTGCTTGACATACAATTCAACCATCTCTTCATATAAAGGAAATCTCGGCACTGTTAGAAGAACTTACTATGCTACCTCTCACTGAAAGATTATAAAGTGGTCCTAGTGGCAATTTCTAGAAGCTCCTTTGGGGCTTGCATGTGATGTCGCAACAGACCCAGAAAACCATTGCACTGTGATGATGCCTTTGTCAAAACTGACTCCCACCCCAGCCCCGCCTTCTCAGTGGACAGTACTGGGTCCAAGGACAATTTACAGAAGGACCTTTGTAAAGTCAAAGGACTGATGGAACAAAGTTGGATGTTCTTCTGAAGAAGTCACACTTGAATAGCTGATCACCTGCTATTGCTCTCATGGGCCAAACTACTTATTGCTAATGTAATTCGCTTTATCAAACAAATAAAATAGGGCTAATCTGTGCACAGCTAGAATTTGTCCTGCTAAAGGAAGCAAAGTAGGGAGGAGAAAAAAGAAAAATGTCACTGGATTGGCAGAAGTACATTTAATAATATATACCAAGTTCACAAACTTCCTTTACAACATTCCCTTTCAAAGTGGGTTTGGAGCATTTCATTCATCTCATAGGTTCTCTTCCACGCCTGGATTTGCAGCAATCTCCACTGCTTCACAGTCCCTTGTTCATACATGACTGTCCCATCAGCATTCAATCATAAGTCGTGGCTCTTCCTTCTTGAGTAATCAGAGTTCCTCCTGTTTTGTTAAAAAAAAAAAAATCACAAACGTTCAGTCTGTATATATGTTCTACTGTTCACTATCCACAGCAAAAATGGCAGATTCTCTCCTACGTATTGTCAGTGCAGGGTGAGTGAACCTCACATGAGGCAGAGTGAGATTCCCATGTCAGATGAGATCAGGGGTGCTAGTGACGTGGATCTCTACAGAGGGGGCCAGAGGAAAGAAATGACATAATGATGCAAATGATGTGAATTACATACTTAGATCACAAATGCATAACTGCGTCATCTGCATGACATCATGATGCAAGTGTCAACATGCTGATGCTGTCCTGACTTGTTCCAGATGCTGCTAGTAGTGGAGCATGACATCATTTCTCCATTCAGAGGGTAACTGTGTTTTGCTGGCTGCTGATAGCAGATAGAACTGCCTATCTGTCAAGCCCTGTGAGTCTAGCAAACTCAGGAAACAAGAATCATTGGATTTTTGGGCAGATCTTTATTGGTAGTAGGGTCATATAACAGAATTTTGAAAGCCTGCTAAAGCCATTCTCCAGATCAATTTATACCTAGCGTAATTAAGGCAGAGTTACTCTGAGACTCTTTCTCACACTTGCCTCCTGCCTAGGCTGAAATATCTCTTTTATAATGGCCCTGTTTCCTTCCCCATGTTCCTAGGGCCTGCTAGATGTGCCATCACGTAATCAGACACAGAGCACCACAACTACTACGTAGGTCTCATGCCGTATTTTGGGGAAAGACACAGTTTGGCAGCCTCCATTTCTCCAAATGAAATGAAGGCCATGGGATTGGAAAGCTAGAGAGGATGCCAACCTCTCTATCAGGATAGAGATAATCAGATAATCAAGATAAAAGACAGGATGTTCTCAGACACTTCATAATTAAGGAAATTGCAAGAATCCTGCATCCACAAAGAGAAGTTCACCAGAATATTCACTTAAAAAAATTAAAAAAAAAAAAATCTAACTGGAGAAGAATGATGGGGAAAAACACAGAAGAAAAAAAAAACTGGTATGGCATTCGTTTATTGTGGCAACATCACAGAGCTCAATCAAAAAGAAAAGTTTTTCCATGAAAAGTTTCACACCTAAACTTGGGAAATTTTGATCCCCCAGCCTCTGCAGGGGGAGTCAATAAAATCAAGATGGCAATCATGCAATCAAAGCCCCACCCTTTGTCTATGTGTGTGTTGATGCACATATAAAAAAAGTGGGACTTCACATGGTTGTGACTGCCATCTTGATTTTTTTTTTTTTTACATCCCCTCCCTCCCAGGACACCTCTGAATGTCAGAACATGAGGCAAATTCAATAAAACTTTACAGAAGGAGAAGGGTAAAAAATTAACCCGGGCAGTTCCACTTTCATAATAGTGTATAGTTTTGCTGTGAATAAATCATACCCAGCACAAAGACAACAAAATCACGCCAGCACAGTGTTTGCAAATATAACGTTAATCAAAATACCCAATATTAGCACTCTGTAAAAATTTTAAAATTCCAAAAAACTAATTTCAAGATCAAAATACTTCTGGAATGGTCAGAACTATCTGTTTTAAGCTTCAAATATTGAGAATGCAAGAAATGTTGCCTACCTCTTGTCAGGATTTTCATTCTCATGGGAAAGGATTCATCCCGTTATCTTTACAACAATAAC